GGTATGGCAAAAATCCACAACTTTGGTCCTTGCTGGGCTCCCCTGTTCCCTTAGCACAAGGATACCCTATTATGCTTGCTATAGGGTATGGCTAGCCATTTTCAGCTCACAATATTTTCTGGCTGGCAAAATCTGTGAGTCACAATTGGTTCACCTGGGGAAGACTTTGTGAGACTGCAAAAATTGTTCTGCCCAGGCTTCATATTGACTGTAGCCTGAGTTTCCAGACTCCAAAACTCTTCATCTCTGTTCCTGCATAAATGACCATCTGACACATTTGACAAAACACAAATACAGAATAAGCCCCAATCATTACAGTCTTTGTTTATTGCAGGCAAGAACAACTACCAGGAGTTGAAAGACAGCACTGCAACCTCCTACTTGACAAGAATCATACACACAAACATGCATACAGCAATCCATTGTCACTACACTGCAAAGCAAAACACATCTTACCTTCCATATTAAGGAAATTATTCAGGAACCTGCACCTTCTTTGTAAGCCAGTTAGTGTTTCTGGGAGGCTTCCAGAAGCACTAATTGGTTCCGCAACAAAATATGATATATTCACCTCCAATTGTATATTCACTTCCAGTGGAAGTGGAAGATCAGGCCCACTATTTTTTGGAATGTCAGCTGTATTTCAGTCTTAGAGAAACATACTTATATCCTTTGTTAAATACAGGAAATTGATGGATTGAGAACAAACTGAATTTTCTTCTTCAAGACGCTAAGCATCTACAGACACAGAAAGTTGCCCTTTTTGCATTTAAAACAGCCAGTTTAAGGGGAAAAAATAAAATGAAAATGTTTGATGAAAGTATTTAATATAACAGGTTACCTCCCTTTTCTTTTATATTTACTATATTTTGTATATATTTGCTATTTTTAGTGCCTGTTTCTGATATGGTCTAGAATTCAAAGATACAGCCATGTCTGTAATATGAGTATGCAAAGGATTTTGTAGCACCTTTGAGACTAACTGTGTGATAGAAGTTGTAGCATAGGCTTTTGTAGACTTGGTCTGCTTCCTCAGATGCATGGAGGAAGTAGAAGGTTTTCACACAGGCGTCCTTGTAGTACCTTTCAGACCGAGAGAAAGAAAGGAGTTGGTAAAATAATCTTTTGTTGACTTAAGTCTACAATGTCTACTTCTTCAGATGTATGCAGTGAAGTGCCTAGGAACAGATGATATTTGAGGAAGTAGACTTAACTCTGCAATAGCTCATGCTACCAACATTTTTCTTTCTCTCAGTTTGTCTCAAAGGTACGACAAGATCTCTTTGCATACGGATATTCCAGACTAACAGGGCTTTGCCTTTGAATTCTAGGAAATAAAGTGTTTCAATCTTGGCAGGGATGTGCTGACATCAGTTTACTGATTTTATTTTTAGTAGAATCTACTTCATTTGCCAATATGTTTTATGTGTACAAAGTGAGAATGTAGTAAAAAAATCCATATTAGAAAAATTACTCTGAAATCCCTAGCCATCAATGGCCACTAGCCATCCTGGCTGCAGCATCCTGGGAGTTGTAATCCAAGAAAGTGATTTTTCCAAGCTCTGAGCCATTTTTCTGGATTGTTAACCCATAACTAAGATGTGTTATGGGAACCTCAGGATTCTCAACTTGTTTAAGTTCATAATGAGCCAATGAAAATCTGTGTGATCCAGTCTTTTTTTGTGTTAAGTGAACTTGTTAAGTGAAGTGGTAGCTTGGGAATTATTTGGCAGTGGGACATGAATTCACTCTGGGAATCAGTTTGAAATTTAAAGGAGCTAGAGAAAGTGCTGAAATTATTTAGGAAAAAGTGTCCAGAACCATAGATAGGAGCTTTGAAGTTTAAACTAAAATGGTCCACTGACATGCAAGGCACCAGCCATGACAGCTTCTCTGCCAGAACCCCAGCAACCAACAAATTATACATTTGGGGTAGGGAACATTGGTAAGAGCCCATAGTATGGGATGATGGAATTTGTAGTCAAACAAGATCTGCAACAGATGCACGTTCCCATAATCTCACACAGGACAGTCCACCAGAACCTAGCCAATGGACAACAATCTATAGATATATCTCAGTTAACAAAGTAGATATGTTTCTGGATATTACTTCTTTAATAGAAAAATTGGTACCAAAGACAGAAATAACATGGAAAGAATGGGGATAGGTTGTTGTTGTGTGCCTTCAACTCATTTCCACCTTATGGTGACCCTATTATGGGGTTTTCTTGGCAAGATTTGTTCAGATGAGATTTGCCATTGCCTTCCCCTGAGACTGAGAGCTTGTAACTTGCCCAGGGTCACGCAGTGGGTTTCACAGTCTCTAGAATCATAGTCCAACACTGAAACCACTACGCCATTCTGGCTCCCTAGGGATAGTCACAAGAAAGAAGAGCAGTTCAACAAATTTCAGCAAACTTTCTATTCAAACCTAGGAATATGCATATGTGAAAGGAAACAACCAGTTCTGGTAAGCCTTGCATAACAATATATATATATATATATATATATATATATATATAAGTTTCTAAAGACCATCCAAAGGGTTCAGGGATTACGTTTTCTTTCACCAGTAGCCACTTTTCTTATTATTTCTATTTTGGTGGCCATAGATCTATGCTTCTTTAACAAGCAAGCAATATATTGTGAGGCAAGCTTATCTACTGTTCCTTTTTCTCTCTGGTTTGCTGTTCATTCTTGTTCAATAAGCAGCGCGAACAGATGTTATAACTTCAAAGTAGGACATGGCACCAGATTTAAGAAAAATGCAGGACAGAACAAAATAAAAGCAACAACAACAACAACAATAACACTCATATAAAGTAGGACATGTCCTAGAAAAGGAGAACATCTGGTCACCCTGTCAATAAGGCATTCTGAAGCCAGCTACTATTTATTTTGCCTGCTGTAGGCAGGTGCAGAGGACTATAGTAGGATCTGCTAGACGCAGTGTTTCCCAAACTTTAGTCCTCCAGGTGTTTTGGACTTTAATTCCCAGAAGCCTTAGCCATTTTGGCCAACAATTGGGAATTCTGGGAGCTGAAGTCCAAAACATCTGAAGGAGCAAAGTTTGGGAACCACTGCGGCTAGAGTATAATCCTGCTGTTTCCCAGTTCAATCTTTGTTTACATCACTTACTGCAGGCATGCTGCTGCAATCCACACCACAAGGGTCTGTATTTTCCCAGCCCACTTTCACCAACTTTTCAATTTCAAAGATGCTTTAAAAATCCAACAGCCTCCAGCTAGATAGAGCCTTTGTAAAAGAGAGTTCTTCAGGAACTCTCCCTAGAGACTCCTCTTAGTGTTTCATGTAAAGTGGCATAATGTTGCCGTTTTCTTGTCTTTCTTTTTTGCTTTTTGCTATTAATATTGTTGCAGCCAATTGCTGTATTTTATTCTATTTGGTTTTTAATCTTATTTGATTTAATATTCTTTTAAGGGGGTAGGGATGGGATTGGGATGTAATGCATTTTGACTTGTTAGCCGCCCCGACTGTTCTCAGAGGGGCAGGGTATAAATAATAATAATAATAATAATAATAATAATAATAATAATAATTAAAAAGGAGCTTCAGTGTCACAGGCTTCATTAACCAAGACATGCATGCATTTTCTTTCCATTCCTCCTGCCCATGATTTATACTCCTCAGGACTGCTTTTCACTACGGAGGGATGAATGAAATAAAGTGGCTTCGTCTCTCTGTTAAGGAGGCACAAAAGCAATGTGGAGGCAACTACTTTAGCTGCAACAGAATAGCCACAAGTGGTGGTGGTGGTGGCAGGAGCTTCCACAGTTCTTCCTGTGACTCACGGATGGACGGGTTTGCCCCTATTTGCTTTTGCAAAGTACCCGGAGGCTTAGATGAAGGCTGCAGAGGTTTCTCTTGACTCAGCACTGACTCTCCAAAGATGTTTTGATCAAGGCCAGCTGTTAACACCCATGTCAATGGCATGGTGGTAAATCCATGCCAATCTTTGGTCAGAACTTGGCATTTGCTCTCCAAGGTGCTGAACCGTCCTGTTTCTCTCCTATCACATTTGCTCCCTCAAATGCAGAGCAGATTCACCATGACACTGATATGGGAGCCACCGGCTGCCACTGGTGAAGATGGGAAGCCAAAGCCTCCCTCTTCGCCAAAAAAAAAAAAAAAAAAAAAAAAAGCCTGGGAAAGTTTAATTCTTTGGGGTTCTTTCAGCTATTTTTTAAAGACTGGCTGCTCAGGGGGACTGGGCATTGCAGAATTGTGCTGTACTGTCTGGGTTTTTTAATCTGTCATTTTAAATAGCTATGTTTTTTTTTAACTGGTTTCAAATTTAAGGGTAGTTAACTATAGTTTTTGGTATATTTTAGGTATGTCTCTTTTAACTGCTGTAAATTCCAAACTACGAAAAAGGAGGGACAATAAATAAATAAATAAATAAATAATAAAATGCAATCATTTGAGAGGCAGTGTGGTATAGTGGTTTGGGTGCTGGACTAGGACACTGGAGACAAAGGTTCAAATCTCCACTGGAAATGCACTGGGTGACCCTGGGCAAGTCACACTCTCTCAGCCTCAGAGGAAAGCAAAGGCAAACCCCTTCTGAACAGATCATGCCAATAAAACCCCATAATAGTTTTGGCTTAGAGTTGCTATAACCTGGAAATGTCTTGAAGGCACACAACAACAAATGCAAATCCTACGATTCTATAGGACAGAACCACGGCATTTAAAGAGCAATAAATGCACTATAATTCTTTAGTGGGAATTACATTGTTGGGGGATATCATTAGACTCGAGACAGTTAATTAGGTTAGCTAGGATTATAAAGAGATAGGGTAAGAGTAGAGTCAATTAGGATTTCAATGTGTTAAATGAATAACCTTTAACTGTGTGTTGCTGATCTTGATGTTGTTGCTGCGTGCCTTCAAATCATTTCTGATTTATGGTGACCCTATCATGGGATTTTCCGGGGCTGAAAGTGTATGACTCGCCCAAGGTCATCCAATGCGCTTCTATGACCGAGTGGGGAACCGAATCCTGATCTTCAGAGTCATAGTCCAGCATTCAAACCACTAAACTACACTGACATGCTTAACTTCTCTTTAATAAATTCTCTTTAATAAATTTAATAAAATAATATGCTATTGGTTGAATCCAAACACATCGTTTCTGTAGTGGCATCAATGGCTCAAGGATGGTGGTGTCTAGTTGTTTGATTATAAGAAAAAAAGAGTCTCACACTGGGCCCCTCAAGTAGTGTTAGCAGTGGGACAGGTGAAGGTCCCCACATTTGATACCATAATAATCCTCCCATCATCATAATCATTATTTTGTTATTGTTTCTCTTCAACCAAGTTCTTTCTGACTTAGGTTCGCTTTAGGGCTGCAAGTCAGAAACAACGTAAAGGTACACAACAACAAAAGAAGACCCACCACCTTTCTAGGATGAAATCATGGCAATTCAAAGAGACATCAAGCTGCCATAACTATGTGAGGTAGGTACATTCTAAGACAGTTTTCTGGGTTCTAAAAAAGGAGTATGATCTTGCATGCACAATGGGCCCTCCACATTCTCTGATGTTAGGGGCACAGGACCCCCGTGAAAGTGGGAAAACCACAAATAAAAGACCACTATTTTATTTTTATTTTTTACCTGAGAGAACACCTCTCTGGGAATCTCTAGGTCTTCCAGCACAACTCTGTGATCAACATCCACTGAAAGCTGACCATAAAATCATGCTGGAGGACCTACAAATGCCCAGATAAGGGTTTTCTCTAGGAATCTCTAGGTCATTCAGTGCAAACCTATGGTCAACATCTGCTGGAAGCTGACCATGAAATCATGTTGGAGGACCTACAAATGCCTAGTAAAATGTTTTCTCAAGAAATCTCTCTCTAAGTCCTCCACTGAGATTCTATGGTCAACTTCTGGCAGAGTTACCCTGGAGGAGCTGTGTGTTGTGCATGTTGTGTGCCTTCTAGGCATTTCTGACTTATGGGTACCCCAAGGCTAACCTGTCATGGGGTTTTCTTGGCAAGATTTGTTCAGAGGACTTGTCATTGCCTTCTCCTGAGGCTGAGAGTGTGTGACTTGCCCAAGGTCACCCAGTGGGTTTCACAGCCAAGTGGGATTCGAACCCTGGTCTCCAGAGTCACAGTCCAACACTCAAACCACTGTGCTGGAGGATCGATTAATAAAATCCGTAAAAGTCAAAGCCGCAGATGTGGATGGCAGAGTGTTGTCCCATAAATTGAAAAGAAAAGCCTTTGAATTTTCAACAGCAAGTAAAACTGGCCCTTTAGACATAGTTATTATGATTTTACACAGGGGGTAAAAACCAGTTCATATACATTTACTTACACACACAAAAACGGGTAAAGACTGTTCATATGGCCATAAGGGTTCCCACGATAAGGGGCAACTATGAACCATGTGATCAAGAGAAAAAAGGGTTGTTTTTATACAGCAGCTTCCTGACCTCATCGGATTCTGGAGATTCAGTAGCAAGCTGCCGCTTCGAATTTGCATGTGATGGTATCAGGTCACAAGGCAGCCTTTGAAGGGGTTCTCCCCACCTACCTTCAGCAACCTGATTCCTTCTCACATGGAAAACCCATGACATCACCTCTACTTACCACAAGGAGGATGCAAAATAGGAAGCTGAATACCAGATAATGATGTGCAATGTGACAAAGTGGAGCACATTGTGAAAGAGGCCGCTCCCTCACCCAGGCTTTGCTATTCCTGAGTCTTCCTTTCCAGAGGCCCTTTCACAACACACAATTATAGTGCTAAGAGTCCACTTTCACTGCCATGGCTGCATCCTATGGAATCCAAAGATTTGAAGTTTGGTGAGACACTAGAGCTCTCTGGAAGAGAATGCTTAACACTTCTGCCAGAACTTCAACTCCCAGAAATTCAAAGGATGGAATGATAGCAATTAAAATGAAATCATAGCGCTAGCATAGCATACTGTGAATGGGCCCCTGTGGTCAGCATGTGTGCCTGGGCACCGGGATTATCCACAAAACGAAGGCTTGAATGTATCATCATTTATAAAAGGGTCAGAATGTCTGGTCTAGTTAAAGAACCAAATCAACAGTAAAGTAGTTCAGTTGGTCCTCTTATCCACAGATTCCTTATCCATGGATTCAACCACCCACAGCTTGAACATGTTAATATATATATATATATTTGTTGTTAATTGCTCTCGAGTCGATCTCAACTTGTTCACTTCCTCCCACTTTCCTCCTTCCTCCTTGTTGTTGTTTGTTGTCATGTGCCTTCTAGTCATTTCTGACTTATGACAATCCTAAGGTGAACCTATCACAGGGTTTTCTTGCCAAGATTTGTTCAGAGGGGGTTCACCTTTACCTTCCTCTGAGGCTGAGAGAGTGTGATGTACTCAAGGTCACACAATGGGTTTCCATGGCAATAGCAAGTAATAGTACTTTATATTTCTATACTGCTCCATAGTGAACTAAACACTAGCTAAGCGGTTTACAGTGCTTACAGTGCGTAAGCCAATTGCCCCACCAAGCTGGATACTCATTTTACTGACCTGCAAAAGGATGGAAGGCTGAGTCAACCTGTGGGTTTGAACTCACAACGTTGTGGCTGCAGTACTGACATTTAATCACTGTGCCACCAGGGCTCCACAGCCAAGTAGAGATTTGAACTGGGGTCTCCAGAGTCGTAGTGCAATGTACTACAACACATTGACTTCATCCTTAGTTTACTACAATTGCTGCAAACAAAGTTCAAAGTACAAAAGTAGTTTGCACCCAGTTGACTCAGCAGGAGGGAGAAAAGGGATATTAGGCTTATTAGGGTGTTTTTTGTTTTTTAAAAAAGAAAATTCCTCCCTGGACTTTTCTAAACTCAATTCATAAACTCCAAGGTTTATCTGCTTAAAATAGTAGTTTTGTGTGTTCTTTCACATTAACAACATATGCACTCTTGTCGTCTGATCATATGTTTTGGACCACACTCTGAAGTTGCTCAATTTTCATCTGTGAAATGTTGCTCCATGTCCTATTCTCTGGAGTAGCAGAAAACAAGCTTGCTCCATCCTCAATATGACATCCCTTCAAATGTTTAAACATGACTATCATGACCAAGGCTAAGTTGCCATGACATTACCATATACAACTGGCCCTCTGGATTCATGGAGGTTCAGTTATGGAACTTGCTGCAAATGCAAAAAACATAAATAATCACAGCCCATATTATTAAATAGAAGTGATGTGAATGTGCACATTTCAACATGTGTGCATTCACGTGCACGTCACCATCATTTAATAATACAGGGTGTGATGATCTGCAAATGAGGCCAACTGTACATGTCATTCCTAGGTCTCAGGTTTTGACCCCAAAATATCAGAGCCTGGGATAGTCCTAAGCAGTTTTCTAAGCAGAAGAAAAACAAGAATAGACAAGGGACAATTTCATCATCTGCCCAGTACATGGATACCACAGGAGGTGGCTGGCATAAACATACATTTAAAGGATGGAGCCTGTGGTCACATGCTATCCCCTTCCACATACTGACTGAATGTGTGGAAAATAGCAGGGAAAATGGCTATGGTCTCTATTCTGGGTTCCTACCACTACCACAACCATTATCCATCCATCCATTCATTTTTCATTTTCCCCCCAGAACTGGGATTCCATACATCTTTTAAAAAAAAGTTAGAACCCCTCTCCAAGGAGGAAAGGATGGACAAGACCTCAAAGGTTGAAGCAGCATGCAATTCACCAATATGTATGTCTGTCACCTTAAGCTGAAGAGGTGGGTCTGAAGCTTGGCTGATATGTTCATGGTGACCTCCATCCCTTTACTTCAACCGCACATCACCAGTTCTGACTTCAACCGTACAAAATGACATCCACTACTTACACCAGCACTCTGCGCTCTGGACCAAATTCAGCTTCATAGTAACCGTTTTCACAATCTTTTCCAACAAGACGATGCGGATGTGGCCTGTAGGGCTCATTCTTGGTCACCAAAGTTATTCTGATTTTTACTTTTCCAGCGTAGTTCAAAATCTATGAAGGGTGGGGAGAAAAGACAGAGAAGGTCAGTATCGTCAGCATCCTCCAGCTGAAAAAAAAAATGCATTATGTCATCAAACTTCAGGGACAGAGCCTTTTCCAGTGGCAAAATGCATGCAAAATATCCTAGGTCTAATCTCTGACATCCCCATGTAGAGCTGCAGAATATTCCAGTCTGTAGCCTTGATGAGCTGCTGTCAGTCTGTGCTGACAATACTAAATTGAATGGAGAAGTAGTCTGAGTTGGTAGTAGAAGACAGCTACTGGCCCTGGACCTAAAATCTGTCTTAAACTTACAGAAGCAAATGAAATAACCTCTCCCTCAAGAATTACTCCGACCAGCTGTGAGTAGTGATTCTGATATCAGTGGGGCAGCATGGATCCAATCAAGGTCTAAACTTTTCTTCGGGGTGCTGAGTCTCACCCTCCTAATAGGATCAGCACCTTGGATAGCTTCATTACAGCTCTGAATAAAACTTGAGAACAGATTAACCACTCCTGCCCCCTGTAACAACATAAAAAGTCATTCATTACACACACACACACACACACATATATGATTTATAACATGTTGCTTCCAAGCTATGTCTATTCAGAAGTAAATTCCATTTGATTCATTGGGGCTTGGTCCCAGGTAAGTAGACACTTAGCTTTGAGTGAGCATGGTGTAGTGGTTTGAGCACTGGTCTACAACTCTGGAGATCAAAGTTCAAGATCCCAATGTTCCATGGAAACCCACTGGGTGACCTTTGGTGTGTCATACACTCTCAGCCCCAGAAAACCCCGTGATAGGTTCACCTTAGGATCAGTGTCAGAAATGACATAAAGACACACAACAAGTGGATACAACAGGAATTTCAAGAGATTTCCCTCCCAAAAAACAGTCAGACTTCTCCTTAAAAAAGTGTAGAGGTGACCTCCTGGTAAACCAAAATGGCAACCACAGTGGCATGAACCTCAGGAGACCAAAATGGCCCACCAGGTTCTGGAATATGTTCAATCCTTAGGATGCAGAATTATAAGCTTCAGGTT